GGCAGAGAAATAAAGTTAGCCAGATGTGGCGATTCTCAGACAAAGACAGATTGCATATTAATAATGCTTGTGCTGGAAAGCCAGCATAACTGCGTATTGACATATCTGTAGGTGTAAAAACAAGTGTCGCAGCATATGGTCTTTTTGTATGGGCAACAACACAGTGACATATGTAGTGTAGTCTGTATGAGCCTGCTCCTCTTGCAAGCAAGTGCAGAATTTCCTGTGGATTCAGGTGTTCAGTATCGGGTCCAGATACATAGGGGAAACCTTGAGCTACTTTTCCCTTCAACTGTGTGAGCATAGGTTACCACTTTCTTTCTGGGTGTCTCCTTTTTATCTGCACACTGGGCAGGAGGCACCTTACCTGCTTCGGAGCGGTAAAGTGAACTGCCCAGAGAGGTTGTAAAATCTCCCTTGCTGGAATATTCAGGACTTGGCTTGAGAGAGCCCTGGATAACCTGATCTAAGGCCCTGCTTTCAACAAATGGTTGGATCAGGTGATCTCCAGAAGTCCCTTCCAACCTAGACTTTTCTGTCATTCTGTGAGTGAGGTTTAGTTTGTTAAAAGCTTCATAAAGGGTTGTAGAAGTTCAACATACTATTTTTTACCTGATTCAAACTATTCGCGTGCATAAAAGAGATGGTAATTTATTAAAGATTTAATTACATATGATATATATTCTACACAAAAGCAGAAAGAATAAAAGAAAAGAAAAATTTCTTCTCCCTCCTCCGGTTTGCCTTATACAGACAAAATATACAGTTCATGGAAAGATGAAAGCAGATTTAGATGAGTAAGTGCTGAGATCCATAGAACTAAAGTCACTTTATGCCAATAAATTAATGCTAGTCTCCCAAGCAGGCAATCTGGTTTAAAGCTTCACTCTTAAATCACAGAGGTTTATTCTGTGTAGGGGGGGGCGGGTACAAAAAGTAAAGCCATGGTTTATCATGAGTTCTACACTTTTTGTGATGCTGCAAGTTTTTCGTTCTGCAAGAACAAGCATTAGTGTTGTTACAGTCGTGACAAACAGCACTGTCTCCCACAACGAGGGAGGAGGTAGAAGACTGATATATCAGAATAACATGCATGTTAATAGTCATGGCATCTCATGACAGTTCTGGGCAAGCGTTTTATCCCAGAGAGAGCAGATAGAGAGAGAGAGAACAAAAAACTCATGCGGCAACTCTGTCGTCAGAGAAGGGTTGGCCACAAAAGTTATCTTCCTTATTCATTTCTAAACACTTTGTACTCTTCAGGACTGAGCTGTGAAAATGCCAGGTGGAATATTAACTTCAACAAGAGAAGAGC